ATGCACATCTGAAAAACATTGAACAGATTACAGCTCCCCTTTAAGTTGGCGCGGTGCGTAACGAGATCCGTATCTGCTCTCCCGAAAGTTATTCCTGTGGAAATATCCCGGTGGAAAGTATGCACTGCGCAGAACTGGTCGTCCTCCTGACAGCCCAGCCATAAATCTTCATTACATAGGAGGGATATAAATATACTTGTATTGTAATGAAAGTCAGATGGTCAGAGCTGTCATTTTACATTACACCCTTTCCAAACATCTGACTTCAACGGCAAGTGCCCGCAAGGTCAGAGCCTGGAGTCGGCCCTCAGCCCTTCCTGTAGATAGGGTCTGCCTCTGAAGGCCAAAAAGGGGTGTTTGAGTAAACATGACTTTCCTTTCCCCCTAATGAGTGGCTTCTCAAGCCACCCCGTTTCCTCTTCACGTTACAATATAGAGCATCGCAGACATTTTTACTGTATAAGAGAGATGCACGTAGAAAGTCTGATAATCCCAGTGTGGGTGTCTTTTGTTTTATTGATCTATAGAATATTATTACAGAATATTTATCTTGAGTTGTTTTTGTATTGCTTATCTAATATGAACATGTTACATTAGCTCTGATGTGTGTGTGTGTGTGTGTGTGTGTGTGTGTGTGTGTGTGTGTGTATAGGTCCATGAGTGTTCTAATTCTTAAGAGTACCTGTACCCTGGTACATTACGTTCTCTGAGGAAGTCGTCCAAAAGCTTCTTGAATGATTCCAGACTAATTGCGGAAATTACTGCTTGAGGCAGCGAGTTCCAGACCCTAACCGCGCGAACTTAGAAGAACCCCCTTCGCCCCTTGTGTTTGAATTTTTTTTCTACCAGTTTTAGGTGGTGTCCTCTAGTCTTTGTTATGGAATTAATCTTAAAGAGTTTGTTGCTAATGTTGCTATGACTATTGAACATTTTGTACATGAAAATCATGTCCCCCCTTAATCTCATTACTTCCAACGCAAACATGTTTAAATTTAGTAGCCTTGTCTCATAGTTCTGGTCCTCCATCCCCTTGATGAGTTTGGTCGCTCTCCACTGGACTTTCTCCAGTTCAAGGACATCTTTTCTGTGTACCGGTGCCCAAAACTGCACCGCATACTCCAGGTGGGGCCGAACCATTGATGTGAAGCTCTCTATGCACTGTTGTGCCAATCTGAAGGCCACACAAAGTTTGGAGGTCTGAAGCTATTGACTCTGCAGACGGTTGGCGACTTCTGCGCACTGTGCGCTTCAGCAACCTATTACGGGACCCACACTTGAATTCTCTGCGCTCCTGAGAGCGACCCATTCTTTCACAAATGTTTGTAGAAGCGTCTGCATGCCGAGGTGCGCGATTTTATACACCTGTGGGCATGGAGGTGATTAGAACACCTGAATCCAATGATTTGGAGGGGCGTCCGAATACTTTTGGCAATATAGTATGTATGTGTGTATCTATCAGACACACACCGTATATCTAAATATATACAGTATGTTATATAATTTATAATTATTTTACACAATTTCCCAAACCGCGAGCCTGCCAGCCAAGCAGAACGCAGGGAGTGTTGATGTGGCATTAGGCAACAAGCTCCTCGTGTTACCGCCATCAGACTGCGTGTTTCTGTTAGGCCTCGACGTTCATTATTTGTTACCATATGCAAGAGAGAAAAAAAAGACTTATCCTGCCAGTCCGACCTCGCTCCTGGCACTCCATGAGGAATAGACTTTATTTTCCATGACATAATACGCAGATAGATGGAATATTTTAACCTGTTCTACTGCTCGGTGCCAGGCTGCACATACAGGAGTGGGCACAGGTTCTGTGCAACTGGCCAGAGGCATAAAATGGTAGTATTGGTAGTAAGGTTTTTGGACTATTGATATGATTACCTGGCCCTATCGTTTTCATGTTAATTTGAGTGGGTGTTTTATTCTGGGGTTCCCTCCCTTCGGAGGGTCCCCTTTTTTGTGAAGAGCTGCTGGAGCGGAGTCATCAGGCCCAAATATTGCTTCCTATCCTGTTCGTGGCCCGTCGCCTCATCTCCACCCACCCCATGGGTCCAGGATCACCTGGGCTCACAATAAGTGGGTTGAATGATGCTGGGCATCAGACTGAGGACAAATGAGGTTCTCTGCTACTATGTAGTCTTTATACACAAAGTCTGTAATCTTTGTTTGGCTTCCTCTAGCGGAGCGGTGAATGTGAATAGGATGTAAATGAAATAATCTAATTGTGTGTACTCTTTCCAGCTCTCGAAATGCATGTTGTTCTAAAGAGCGTGGCGAGCGGCTTGCCTCATTTAGTACCGTGCTGTCTGAGCAGACTTATTTCCGATCTGCTGAAAGGCTAAAACACTTTAATGTCCATGGCCTGATGTAAATGGTGTCATTTGCAACGGATATGTTATTTAGATGTCACTGCTCAGTGAGGACCGGGAAAAGGTCGCTGGTTTGGCACTATGGGTGTCCTGTCATCTCTTACTGTAAACAGCCGCTGTCCTGATCTCTCCTGTTACAGTTTTCAGATTGTCCTTAAATGTTTAAAATTGTTACGAATAAAGTTTCAGATCTAGGGATGTTATTGGTGGGGTTTTTCTTTAAGGTGTCCTTGTCTGGACTGGTTATGTAGTAGATTATACGGTCAACTGGTGGGTGAACACCTGACCATCACACCTCTATAAGCTTGTTGGATAGAACAAAACATTGGGTTTTGTAGTTGTACTTGATATGTAGTTGGACCCCCATTATGGAGATGATGGCCTTCAATGTTCTGGGAAGGCTTTCCACAAGAATTTGGAGTGTGTCTGTGGGAATTTATGTCCATTCAGTCAAAGGAGCATTAGTAAGGGCAGGTACCAGTTGACCACTGATGAAAAAACAAAACAAGGGGCACCTTCCCTAGTGTAAATACATTTTTATTAAACAAATGGCAAAAGTAGAAAAATACTCACAAAAAAATAGATAACAATGAGCCTTCAAAAATCAAAGGTTGATCCTCAGTCTTAACAAAAAGCAAGATTCAAGTAGTCACTCGCACTCCATGATATCAAAGTCAATGCTGTTTATTGACTGAGATAACACACATCTCCTTAGCCTTCGCTAAGGAGACGTGTGTTATCTCAGTCAATAAACAGCATTGACTTTAATATCATGGAGTGAGAGTGACTACTTTAATCTATCTACATTTCACGGAGGCATCCGTTGTCACCACCGCACCCACCCAGTTGGATTTGTGTTTTTGTCCGGTCAGGAGTGCGATGGGACAGGAGGATTAAGTTAGCAAAAAGCAAGACACAGCATGTGAGAGCTGCACAGATGTTGGTTCCTGTGTGACAGCACAGTATGCCTATGTTGACCACTGTCAACAGGACTGTAAGGGGACTGATTCACTGCGGGTAAATCTTAATGCCACATGTGCTTTAAATGGCAGTGATCAATCCACCACTAGTGACTGTTTGGTGAAAGTCACAGTACTTGCTCTATAACCATGTCCCTAAGTGAGGGATAATCCAAAATGTTTAATTGCCAACACAGGAACTGGGGAAAAAATCTTACAATGGGACATTTGTTCTGGTTAGCACCATTTAACCAAAATACCAGTTTTGAGGCCAGGTACTGATGTTGGATGAGAAGACCTGCTTCATATTAGACATTCCAATTCACCCCAGTAGGATTGAGGTCAGGGCTCTGTGGACGCCACTCAAGTTCTTCATCACCAAGCTCATCAAACCATGTCTTTATGGAGCTAGCTTTGTGTACAGGGACACAGGTTCATCAAGTTCAACCTTTGTGTGTCTTTGCACATGTGTGTATACGAGTCCCTGTGTGGTCTAGTTTTTAAGAGTACTTGTACACCTGTAGGTTATGGTCATGCTGTAACAGAAAAGGGCCTTCAACAAACTTTTGTCACAACATTCTAAAATGTCTTTGTGCACTTTAGCCTTCACAGTACCCTTCACTAGAAACACTCAACAATATGGAGGTGTGTATACACACTTGAGGCCATATAGTGTATAGCCCTTTACAAAGATGTCGCTCTTTGGTAGTGGGATTTCCCAGCTTTATGGAAAGTCCAGTGGGCAAAAGACCTCCCTTATCAATCTTTCCCAAGGCCTTTCAGAGTGGCAGCAGACCCCCAAACTGAAAGTCCCCATGAGTAACCAGAGTTTCTTCCCCATAGAAACTGCCTGAGTCTTGAGTGACCTTCTATGGAAATAATATATTTCCTTTTTAGGTACAAACCTAATATTGGAGTGTAGTACACCTTAAGAAAGCCTATTGAGGAAGCCATGTCACATAGAGTCACTACCTCTTCTGATATGGCTGCCCTAAAAAAAAGTGCGACATTTTTGGGGGTCTTTGGTGATATCTATTTTTGAGTTTCCCGGTCTGTTTAGTGAGGGTCCTTCTCCTAGCACCACAAACATGATAGAAAAATACATAAAGAAGATGGGAGCACCCAGCACCCCTTGGATGGTGGTAAATAAAATACAATTCCCCATGTTATTAAAAAAATTAAAGTGGCCTAAAATATCTGAGAGGATCCATCCAGGGTTCAAGATGGATGAGTAAAACTCTTTCATAGGGTTTATAATATTAGACCATATTTGCACTATACAGCAGCGGTGGCTGATGGGGCTTAAAGGAATCATTTGCATAACCCTGCCCACTATCCTGAAGTTAGGAAAAATCCTCCTTATTTTTCAGATTTGTGATGGAATGAGACATGTGATTACAGGTACCTTCTGTTCTGAGAAGGCTTTACTGTAAAGACAATAAAAACACTTGCTGCTGATGGGGTCTCCTATCTCTTTGTTGCTTGCTTGGAAATGTTGAGATTATCAGCAGTCCTGAATATCTTTTTTTTTTTTTTCCTGCATTTGTATCAGGCCTGGTAATCTTTCCTCTTACAGATGACACACAGTAGCCAAAGACTATCAGTCTGGGTATTGGTGAAACCGCTTAGTGGGAGAGCTTCATGTTTCTTGTCTGTTTTTCAGGAGCTCCTGGGAGGTCTACTGGACGGAAGCTGGCGGTCCTGATTGATGTGATTTGACCAAATCTGAAGTCTGATCGCTGAGAAATTGGCAGCTTTGACGAGGTGAGATTCTCTCAGTTATTTCTGAATAATGGAATGGCATGAGACATAGAAATTCTCGGAAAGAAAAGGAAAGATTTTTACCCATAGCAAGCATTTGCTTTTATTCTTTTTTTCTTGAATAGAATGGTTGGAATTTGGTTGGTATGGGCAAGGTGGACAATTTTATTTTTGTGAAGAGGACCAGAGGACTGTCACTTTTAACCATGACCAAAATGTGACCTTTTTTTTTGAAGGATGCAACAGATTGTTAAATCTAGTTAGGTAACCACTAGAAATGCTAATTGTTCCTAGTATACCGAAAATGTACCTTTTTGTTTAAATTACTCTTGAAAAATAGGCACACTTCCTGTTCTGTAGCCTCATAGCTGTATATCTGCAGTGTGCAATCTAAGATTTCTCCCTCTATCTGTTAGTCCAACCAGATTTGGTGTGAGGTTTGGTGATATCACTACTGTACTACTCACTGTGCCATGTTTCCATGCTTTTTGCCATATTGTAGAAAGCCTGACCCATGCTTTGATTCCAAAAAAGATGCCTTGTTACTAATAGGGCGGAGTGGACTCTTTTGACCTGGTGGGGATTTTCACTGGATACATTGTTCTGCACTGTTGCCTTCGTTTTAGACCAGCTCCCAATTTTGCTGGGGTAGCTAACCCTCAGGGCCGGTGCTGCCACTAGGCAGCCGCCTAGGGCGCACTGCTACCTAGGGCACAGCCTCGACCCCCCCCCCATGGTGCCCCCCCTGTTTCAAATTGCAAAAGCCAATAGCAGGCTATTCACCTGTCGCCTGCGGAAGCTATCAGGCGGGAGAATGGGATTGGGGGTTGCGCCGCGGGAATGGGGCTAGGGGGTGCAAGTAGCTGGTCTTGCCATGGGTGCAAAATAGTCTGGCACCGACACCATTTTTTACCCGCCCTTCCTCTTAACCTGTCCAATCCCAGATTGCAGATTGTATCAAACAGAACATGTACTGATAATGTCACACAAAAGCTGACTGATTCACATGAACAAGTGAATTCCATATATACCAGCTATAAGGAGACATTTTTAGCAACACAGATCACTGAGAGAACTGCTGCGGCAATGTAAGCTCAGGTATTTGTTACACCAGCACAAAGATTTGTCCTTGTACATTCAATGTGTATAGTAGTTAAGGATAATTATTATACAGGATTTATATAGCGCCAACAGTTTGCGCAGCGCTTTACAATATAGGGCAGACATTACAATTACAATACCATTCAAGACAAGATGGTAAGGAGGGTAGATGATAATGGAAGCCCTTTGAAAAAAATAAAGGGCTCCACTCAGACATATACAAATGAATAGGTCCGACCCTCGCATGTGAATTGTATATATTTCCGTGAGCATGAGATTGCACAACCCAAACTACATTCACTCCAGCAGGTGAATTTCCATCATGCAAGGGACTGTGAAATCTCAGCAAGTACATCCATAGTTGTAAATTGGCCACTTTGTGAAGAGCAGGATTGGTGGTGGAGCAGGATTGGTGGTGGAGCAGGATTGGTGTTGGGGCTGGATTGGTGTTGGGGCTGGATTGGTGTTGGAGCTGGATTGGTGGTGGAGCAGGATTGGTGGTGGAGCAGGATTGGTGGTAGAGCAGGATTGGTGGTGGAGCAGGATTGGTGGTGGAGCAGGATTGGTGGTGGAGCAGGATTGGTGGTGGAGCAGGATTGGTGGTGGAGCAGGATTGGTGGTGGGGCAGGATTGGTGGTGGAGCAGGATTGGTGATACACATAATGGTTAACTTGTTGCTATTGTTCTTATCACCTCTTGGTTAGTAACTGCAAACACAAGCTTGCAAGCGGGCCCAGGAATTTCAAAAACTTGCCCTTGCGGTGCGGCTACCCCCACACTGCAGGGGTTAAGTGCTTGTTTTATCTAGGGGGAGCTCAGATTAATCCGATACACTCACCTGATTCTCAGCCCCATGGCAGTCAGTGATCGTCTCTTTTCCCCTCTGCTCTGGCTATGGACTGTCCCTTGGCGTCCTCACGCACAAGTCAATGGACCTGCATAAGACATGTTGACATCAGTGGTCCTTAGACTGCCGGAGCCCAGGGGAGAAGAGGCTGCGGGGACCGGTCTAGCAGCCCAGTGGGACTGAGAATCAGGTGAGTTTATTTGAGCCCCCTAAACAAAAAGAGGCTACCACCTCAGACTGCCTCATTATGGAGATACCCTGAGTGCAGGGGTAGCCCCTCTGCAAGAGTAAGCTTTTTACATTTCTGACGTTCTTCTTTAACTTTTAACCACCTGCTCACCTCCCTCCCATCTTCCTCCTGACACCCTCCCGAGCCGGTTCCGGGCCGCAGATGGGGCAGCACCCGCCAATGGGAGCTTGCCGTCTGTCCATTTTTTTACAACGGGCGGCAGGCAAGCAGTTAAAGGGCTACTAACTTTTTTTTTTGAATGGCGTTCAGCTTTAAAGGAGAACTATGAGGTGAGTGCTTTTCACTCACCTCATAGTTCTAGCCAACCTGTAACAATGAGACTGTCACAGGTCGGCTCAGTAGATCGGGAGGTGAGCGAACACATACCGGGTTCGCTCACTGAGCTTAGGGTAACGGGAGGACGCTAGTTTGTGTCCTCCCGTTACCCTAAGGAGAACTATGGGGAAAAACACTGACCCCATAGTTCTCCTTTAAGGTTAATAGACAAAAACCCAAAGAACCGGACGGCGGAGTATTTTTATATAAAATGCACCTTGAGCAAAAAGGTCGCCGCCGCATTTCCCTTTTAACGTACGACCAACAAAAAAAATAAAAAGTCAGAGATAAAGGTCTGCGAAATGAAATTTGGGAAGGAGTTGGAAGCATTAAGCCGACATCCTCGCCGGGTTACCGGAGACGTCTCCAAATGTCTAGAGCAAATTGTTCTCATTCCGTGTGACAGATTGCAGAGGCCCGGAGTAGATTACGCACGGCGGTCACATACGCTCGGTGGATCACGGCCAGCTGGCCCCGAAGACAGCGCCGACAAATCCTCTGATTTTGGAAGGGGGGGGGGATAGAGAAGTTACTGATGTGCGGAATTATTGGCCTGGACAATTTAATAGACTGCGTGACTCATCGGCCAATGATATATGCTACAAGCGGGAATTTATTTCTTTTTTTGGAGCATCGTCTGGTCTATAGTAACAATTTATATCTCCAGAAGAAGGTGCAATCTTTCACCGCTAACTGAGCAATCACTTGTAATGGTGACTTTGGGTTACGGAGGAACAGAAGATGGATCGGTAGCGCGGCGGCACAATCAATAAACAAGATGTTATTTAGCTAAGTATATGTCTGAAGCCGTGACACCTTCTATGCCTCTCGGAAGGAGAGATCTTCGCTTGGAGCCTGACATTTCTCCGGGGATTAGGGCTGTTTTATGAGACTCGAGTGGGAGAAAATGAAGTGTTTTTTCTGTATATCCTTTCCAGGGGGACGATTATATCACATAGGAGCTGCTTTCACTCCAGAAGATTTGTAGAGGAATGCTTGATGTGATGCCATCTCGATTTTCTCAGGACTACATAGCCCATCATGCACTGCTTCCAGCAAGCAATGATAATGTTACATTGTTGAGTTGTGCTGAGTGAAATGGTGTCAGTGCATTGAGGAAGTCCATCCTATGGGCATCTACAAAGTTCTATGGATATGGTTATTAGGAGTGGGATAGAACCTTTGGAAATTTAATATAGAAATACAGATTTAGTTTTTGACCACAGATACCCTTGAAGAACCCTTTATCCAGCAGCTCGTAGAGCAGGCACTATTCTAACAAGCCTGATGTCATGTTTCAGCTGGAATATGGTGGATCAACACCACCAGGCAGCAGCACATGACATATTGGGGGTGTTTATCTTTGAAACAGCTTCTTAGCCCAGGAAGTAGATGATGACTTGGAATGATACCCGAACAAAGAGGGGTCCATCTGTAAAGAGGCACTTTTACCTTCCTCATGCAGAGCAAAGTGCCAGTGTCTCTGCAAAAGGGATTCCCTGACTCCTTAATACTCGCTCGCTGACATTCCTTTGCAGCCCCATGCATGTCTGCAGCCTGCAAGAATACCCGGCACTTCTGGGTATGGGGTAACATGGGACCTGTTACAGTCTACTGTCTTCGCTTCCAATCACTGGGCCTGATCAGTGTCGCATGACCAGGAGGGTGATATCACTGATCTACTGGGTTGTTGTTATTATTATTATACAGGACAGTTTGCACTATCATAGCTAATTTCAATGCCACCTGTGGAGGAGCAAGGGGGTGCAGGCAATGCAAGTAAAAGGAGGGTGGGGGGCAGTTTGCAGGGACACTGTATGGGCAAGTTGACATAGCCTATTTCAGGCTCATAAACACAGGCAGCTAAGCCTGTCCAGTATAAATAGCGGCATATTTCCCAGCTAGGGTGCTGCGTACAGACTTCCTGTCCCTTTCCCTGCTTCCTGTGTTATCTCAAGCAGTCTAATTAGCCCTCTCAGTTCTCCTCTTGGATCACAGATCAGTTGGTCTCCATGTTGTAGAGATGAGGAGAGTGTGAGAGTTTGAATAGTCCAGCAAAAGATGAGTGTTCTCAGCCCAGCCCAGCTGAGCACATTTCTGACAGATCAGCACGTATCTTCTGTACTTGTAGGGTCGTTAAAGGGATAAAACCCGGGGAGCGGTGCATGTAGTGCAGAGACATTCTGCATATGTGTTTTTCCTTTGCCCTGACATTGCACACCCCATTTGCTCAGAAATATGCTGTAAGCACAGGGTCAGCTTCAAAGCACCTCAATAAATAGGGATTTGAATGAATATGTCCTTCTACCCATTACTATAGCAACAAAGGAAATCCCTGACACAGGAAAGAAGAAAGAGCATCGGAGAACGGCTACGAACCCTCGTGAATCAGACTCCATTTATGCTTCGGCCCTCTTCTCTGCCTTCCTGGCCACTTGTTGCTCATTATTGGCTGACATCACTACTATCCAGCTCAAGAATCAATAGAAG